TCTCTCTCTCTCTCTCTCTCTCTCTCTCTCTCTTTCTCTTCTTTCTCTCGCTCCCCTTCTACCTCTCAGTGGGTTTTTCTAAATATATTTTATTTGACACTAGGTTATACTTACTTTAATAAAGTACATGTACATGTATATTCCAAAAGAAACAAAGTGTTGACCAGAATTTTTCACTACTTTTCTCGTTCCAGTGTGACCGGGGTCAAGGCGTACAATGACCCAGCGGCCTCTCTACGCGGCAGCGGTCAGAGAAGCAACTCCCAGGGCAGCGGAGGAGGTGGAGGAGGAGGAGGAGGAGGGTCCCCGCTGGACACTGGGTCGCCGCGAAGCAACGGCAGCAAGCTCGTAAGCCAGGGCAGTGTGTCGTCCGCGGGCAACCGCCTCCAGCGACAACGCTCACTCAAGCACTCCAACGAGGAGAGGGGGTGGGGGTAGATACGGCGGCTGGTTGCGTAGTTTGCAGGATTATACGCGTCTGTGTATGTTCGTATCGTCTTGGCTGTAAGAGGTTTATTTATGATGGAGGAGCGTTTGGTATTTGCTTTGCATAAGAAGTTGTTTCAGAGAAAAGTTAAGCGCAGAACGACAATCCCACTCATACACACACAGTATGGCGTACACATTTGTTTCAAATTTCAGAAATGTACGTTATTGAACATATAGACTAAAGTAAGAGGAGTGTGCTAATAATAATACATTTATGAGGATTACAGAATGACGGAGGCTAAACTAGTTTAGTTTTGCCGACAGAGCGCTCGTTCTCCCCCCTCCCCCCCCCTCTCTCTCTCTCTCTCTCTCTCTCTCTCTCTCTCTCCATCTCTCACTCTCTGTTATAATGCTAACAACCGGACTCAGCGCCAAGCTTAAACGTATTTGCATTTTTTCTCTCTCCATTCAATAGGACATTAAATTCAAACAAATTACTCGTTTAAAAAGGTTACAGGAGATTCCGAAAAAGAAGAGAAGAAAGCTGTTCTTGTTCAATCAAAAAACCCGACATATTTGCAGTATTCATGATTAGCTTCGTCTGTATGTACTTTTGTATCAGTTTTTCCCCCTGTTTGATATTAAGAGGGTAAATGGACTCGATAAGCGGGCGAACAGCAGAAGGGTTTTTCAGCCTTAAAGGCAATTCAAATTTACCCATCGTTGAGTATTAAACCCGTTATCTACTACTACTACTACTACTATTACTACTACTACTACTACTACTACTACTACTACTACTACTACTACTACTACTA